CCGCGGTCCCTCCCTCCTTTCTCATCCCCTCCCTCTTCCTGTACTGGGTAGTGGAGTGCTGGCTGGCAGGGGAGGTTGGAAGGCACCCCGCCCAGAGCCCCAGCTCCTAGCACCTACCCTGCCCCAGCCCGCAGCCCACACCAGCTTCTGGGCAGGCGCTCTGAGGGCCGGGCAGGGATGCTTGGCTTCCCTCAGTTTCCTGCCCCAGGAACTGGCCCTCAGAACTAATCACAGAAGCTCCCCAACTCATCAATGCTCTTCAGAGCAGTTTCCTGGAAGAATTCATTGGGTTTCTAGGAAAATGTTTCCGGTTGTCTTCTCTTTCCATGGCTGTAATTCATTACTTTCGATATGCCACAATTAGTTTAATGGGCAGTCCTGGAGTATCTGCATTTCACATTTGAAACGTTTCCTGGAGGTAAAACCCAAGAAGCCAGTAGCTGCCCATGTGCAAGACCATGGAGATGACGCAGATGGCCTTGTGAAGAGTCCCCGGGTGGGAGCAAGAGACTTGAGATCTGGTCTCTTTTTTCCGAATGGCTTGGGCAGATCCCTTTCTTTTTCTGGTCTTGAGTTTTCCCATGGAAGGGGCAGTATCTCATGGCAGTCAAGACCCTGGGTGCTGGAATCAGACCCACGGAGTTCAGATCTCGGCCCTGCTTCTCTGTGTAACTTTAGGAAAGTGACAACCACTGTGAGCCTCAGTCTCCTCATCTGTAAAATGGAGATAATAATATAATTTGCCATCCAGAGTTGAAATGATAATACAGTGAGTCAATGCATATAAAGCACTTTGCATAGAGCCCCGTGCTCAGTAATTTCTTGACGTTTCTTAGCTGTGGATGATAATAATAATAAGGATACGCAGGAGAAAGGGGAAGAAGAAGGGATGGAGATTGTTTGACATTCCTGGGTGCCAAACTGGGGTCGTCATGAAATTGAAGAGGAAAGAGGGAATATAGCTACTTTTGATATTTCAAAAAGCTTAATGAGGACACAGCTACTCACCCACAATAAAGCCACAAAGGATAACGAGAATGGGAGTTTTCTTTGCTTTTGGCTGAAATTACATTAACCCCTTGGGGTAAACTAAAAGGCTTTGGAGTTAAATAGACCTGCACTCAGACCCCTAGCAGAGTGTATGATCTTGAATAAGGAGAGTAACGTCCAGACAGACAGACAGCCCCGATCTTGCAGGGCAGTTATGAGGATTAGATGAGATAATGTATGGAACGCACTTAACAGGGGTCTGGAACAGAGTTGATAACTCAGCACGTGACAGCTACTATGGCGAACAGCCTTCCTCGGCTACCCTGGGCCTCAGCCTCTTCATTGGTAAAATTAAAATCATACCACCTGCTTTCCTCATTCAACAAATATTTTCCGATCCAAGTACTATAAATACAAAAATGCATTCACCAGACATAGTTCAGGGCCTCTCAGAACCCACATTCTGAAGTTGCTCATTATTCATCCATTCAACAAATATTTTTACTGAACATTTAGTACGTAACAGGCTGCATAATGGGATTTAGAGATACAATGGCTAGTAAAACAGACTTAATCCCCAACTATCTACAGAATTATAGCCTGGAGAAGATGTAATAAATAAAGTAGTGAAATGCCTAGCATACAGTAGGTGCTCAATTAATAAAAGTTATCTGGGTGCTAATCAGGAACTTCGTATGTGTCACTTCGGGAAACTTAGATCACCAAAATGTTGAAAATGAATGATTTCTCAACACATGAAATTTCTTTGGTAGATGGAGGCTTTTAAAATATGAGGGGAGTGCAAAGTAAATGAAATATTTAAATATACACTTAAAACATGTATAGGATCTGTATGCTGAAAACTACAAAATGCTGATCAAAGAAAACCTAAATCAATGGTAAGGCACACCACACGCATGGATTGGAAGACACAATACAATAAAGATGACAGTTCTCCCCCAAGAGATCTGTAAGTTTAATGCAATTCCTGTCAAAATTCCAGCTAGCAATGTTTTGTTTTGTTTTGTTTTTGTAGACATAGACATCTTATTCTAAAGCTTATATGGAGGGCTTCCCTGGTGGCGCAAGTGGTTGAGAGTCCGCCTGCCGATGCAGGGGACGCGGGTTCGTGCCCCGGTCCGGGAGGATCCCACGTGCCGCGGAGCGGCCGGGCCCGTGAGCCATGGTCGCTGAGCCTGCGCGTCCGGAGCCTGTGCTGCGCAACGGGAGAGGCCACAACAGTGAGAGGCCCGCGTACCGCAAAAAAAAAAAAAAAAAATAAAGCTTATATGGAAAGGCTTAGGCCCTAGAAGTGCTGAAAATAATCTTGACAAAGAACAAAGTGGGAGAAATCACTCTACTCAATATTAAGGCTTACTGTATAGTTATAATCAGGACAGTTGGTGTTGGTGTGGGGATCAATACATAGATCAATGAAACAGAGCAGAGAACCAGAAATAGCCCCACTCAAATATGTTCAGCTTATTTTTGACAAAGATGCAAAAGAAATGCAAAGGAGAAATGAAACCATTTTCAACAAATGGTGCTGGAGCGAATGGACATCCACAGGCAAGAAAATGAACCTTGATCCAAACTTGACACCTTATACAAAAATTAACTCCAAACATATCATGGACTGGGAGGTGAAGCATAAAACTATAAAACTTTTTAAAAATAGGAGAAAATCTCCTGCTTCTAGGGCTAGTGAAGAGTTCTTAGATTTGACACCAAAACCCATGACTCACAAAAGAAAAAAATCGATAAGTTGAACATCAGCGAAATTAAAACCTTTTTCTCTGCAAAAGTCCATGTGAAGCAGATGAAGAGACAAGCTACAGACTGGGAGAAAATATTTACAAACCATACATCCATCTAGTATCTGAAATATACAAAGAACTCTCAACACTTAACTGTAAAAAAAAACCAATCCAATTAGAAAATGAGCAGAAGATGTGAACAGACGTTTCACTGAGGAGGAGATACAGATGGCAAAAAGGCACGTGAGAAGATGTTCAACATAATTAGATATCAAAAAAATGCAAATCCGGGCTTCCCTGGTGGCGCAGTGGTTGAGAATCTGCCTGCTAATTCAGGGGACACGGGTTCAAGCCCTGGTCTGGGAGGATCCCACATGCTGCGGAGCAACTAGACCAGTGTACCACAACTACTGAGCCTGCGTGTCCGGAGCCTGTGCTCCGCAGCAAAAGAGGCCGCGATAGTGAGAGGCCCGCGCACCGCGATGAAGAGTGGACCCCGCTCGCCACAACTAGAGAAAGCCCTCGCGCAGAAACCAAGACCCAACACAGCAAAAAATAATTGATTAATTAATAAACTCCTACCCTCAACATCTAAAAAAAAAAAAAAGGGAAACCTTAAAAACAAATGCAAATCCAAACCACAATGAGATATCACTATATACCTACTAAAATGTCTAAAATAAATAATGAAAACACCAAGGCTAGGGAGTATGAGGAGAGACTGTATTGTTCCTGTATTGCTGATGAGAATGTAAAATGGTACAGCCACTCTAGGAAATAGTTTGACAGTGTCTTATAAAATTATCATGCAATTACCACATAATCCAGCAATTGTCCTCTTACACATCCCAGAGAAATAAAAACTTAGGTTCACACAAAAACCTGTATTGGCATACCTCGGAGATACTGGTTCCAGACCACCACAATAAAGTGAATATCATAATAAAGCGAGTCACACAATTTTTTTGCTTTCTCAGCACACATAAAAGTTATGTTTACACTATACTGTAGTCTATTAAATGTGCAACAGCACATTTTTTTATGTCTAAAATGATGTGCATACTCTAATTAAAAATACTTTATTGCTAAAAATGCTAACCATCATCTGAGCCTTCAAGGAGTTGTGGTAGTAATATCAAAGATCACTGATCACAGATCACCATAACAAACATAATAATAGTGAAAAAATTTGAAATATGGCAAGAATTACCAAAATGTGACACAAAGACATGAAATGAACAAATGCTGTTTCTCCATGCAGGGTTACCACAAAACTTCAATTTGTAAAAAATGCAGTATCTACGAAGTGCAATAAAACAAGGTATGCCTATACAAGAAAGCCCGTATTAGCTTTACTCATAAAAGCCAAAACCTGGAAACAGCCCAGATGTCTTTCAGTGGGTGGCTGGTAAACTGTGGCACATCCCTGCCATGAAATACTACACACAAAAAGAGAGGGACAGACTACCGATGCAGGATAATCGGGGTGAATTTCCAGGGGATTATGCTAAGTACCAAAAAGCCAGTCTCCAAAGGTCACAGACTATTTGATTCCATTGATACGACATTTTTGAAAAGATAAAATTTTAGAAATAGACAACAGATCAGTGGTTGCCAGGAATTAGAGACAGTGTGGGTGAGGGGGGGGCGGAAGGGAGGGGGCGCGGATCAAACGGCAACACAGAACCCTGTGGTTTGGGAATTCTTCTGTATCATGACTGTAGTGGTGGATACCCAAATCTAGCCATGTGACAGAATTATTTAGAATTAAACACACGCACAAATGAATACAAGTGGAACTGGGGAGATTTTAATAAGATCGATAGATTGTATCCATGGCAAGAGCCTATGTTACCATCAGTGGAAACTGAGTAAAGGGTACCCAGGATCTCCTATACCATTTCTTACAATTGCATGTGAATCTACAATTATCTCAATAAATGCAGTTAAAAATATTTTATTGTTTTTTTATTTAAAGACTTGCATCTTATAAAAAAATTTGAAAAGAGAAGAAAAAGGATCAGAAAAATCACCATCCTGAAATAAAATCTTTTGGTGTATTTCTTTCTGGCCTTTGCTTTTTACATTTATATGAAAAACAAGTTGGGGCTAAACACCAGGGTGGTGCAGAGTGGGGGCCTGACTGTCCCCACCTTCTGTGACATCAGAATTCATGGCTTGAGAGATGCTTGGTGACCAGAGGCCGGGGAGGTGAGGGTACCCTGTTCCACCCAGGCAGCCTGACCTGAGATCATGGTGATCCAACAGGTGCACAGCAGGGGGCGAGTGGCAGCTGAGAGAAGGGGAGGTCACTCTGACGACAAGAAACAGGTGAGGCCAGACCAGGCGTACATGGCTTTCCTCCCATCTGGACTCCATTTGACACTCCAGGAAGACTGTAAGGCCCTCAAAGTCAGGAACAGGCTTTCAGCCCGACACTCCCTAGAGCCCAACCTGGTGGAACACAGCAGGGCTCAGGAGCTTCTTCCAGAAGTCATTGACACTCTTATTTAATTCTCCACACTGCCAGCAGAAGCTATGCTCCAGGAGGGCTGGGATTTTTATTTAGCTTCCTGCTGTATTCCTAGTGCCTAGAATAGCACTTGGTACATAACAGGTGCTGAATGAATGAACCGAAATAAATAGGATAATACACCTGAATTGGAGAGGTCATGGAGCTTTTGTTCTTCGGGCTGAAATTCAAACCTCACATAGGATTTTGTCAAAATGGAAAATGTCAGCAATTATGTGCACAGCCTGGTGCTTCTACCCCTCTCTGTTTCATGACATTCCCGAGAAGCAATTATTAGCAAATGGGTAAGCTGAGGTCGGAAAGGCAAAAGGCCAGACAGCAGGGACATACTGGGATTTGAAGGCCAGAACCCTTAGCAAGGTGACCCTGCACTCCACCGCCTCCCAGGTGGAGAACTGAGGGAAAGATGTAAAAGGAGGCTGGGAAGGTCATCTGGGCCTTGCACACTGTGGAAAGGGGTGGGATTTTATTCTGAGATTAGTAAGAAGCCATTGAGGGGTTTTAAGCAGAGCGATACATGACTGACCTATATATGTTTTCAAAAGATTTGTTCATTCACACATTTAATACACGTTCCAATGCTTCCTTTATGCTGGACTTTGCAGGGCTCCCATTATGCTGCAGCTTTTGCTAAAAAAGCGTCCCACGAACCTCAAACCCCAGGAATGCTCCTTTTAGAAAAGTCATTTAAAATGTTCTGTGGTTTGGGGAATGCTGATACCCTCGTTCCCTTCTTGGAGATTTACACAGCTCGTTCACATAATGAAGGCTCTGACAAGTCCTGCAGCAAGGAAATCCACATAACTCTGTTTACCACAGCATCTCCCAAATCAATTCGATGACAGAGTCCCCACCTTGCCTTTTTGAAAGACCTTTCAGCATATATCAAAATCCACTTTACAGGTGAAGAAACTGAGGCTCAGAGAGGAGAAGTGATTTGGCTCAGGCCCCACGACAGCACAAGAGAAGGACTAAAACTCAATTTTAGTCCCTGTTCCCTGCCTTTGTCTCCACCCTGCACACACACACACACACAAAATAGCAGCAAGTATGCTGGTGAAGACACCATCCTGTAACGCACATTGACAGAGTGGTTAAAGAGACAGAAGAGCTTTCAGACCACACAATGTTCATCAGCCGTTATAAAGAATGAGTCAGTTCTATGTGTCTTAGATAAAGAGAGTCCCAGGGAATATTGTTAAGAAATTTAAAAAGTGCCCTAAGCTGAAGTGTACAATGACTTCACCTTGGGTGTCCACACCCAGGCAGCTGCTACCCAGATCAAGCTATAGAGCACGTCCAAGTTTCCTCCAAGGCCCCTCCCAGCTCACACTCCATAACCACGATTCTGAGTTCTATCATCACAGACGAGTTTTGTACGTCCCTGAATTTCATGGGAATGGAATCAAACAGTGTGTCCCTTCATGACTGGCTTTTTTCACTCTTAGTGTGTGTGACAGACTCAGTCACGTTGCTGCTACGTAATTAATTTTTACTTTTTTTTTACAGTTAATAATAATACAGTTGCCACTATATATTTTTGAAAAGCTATCCAGGGAAGAGACAAATTATGCAAATCTCTTACCTTCTTTGTTTGTGGTAGCCAGTCTAAATCTTGCTTCACAGAGACAGGTACATAAGAAATGTATTATTTCAAGTCAGATTAAATCTGGCTCAGCCCACATCCAGTGAGCTGGGGGGAAAGTCAATGTCGGTCACTACTGTGTCCACCTTAATCCTCTCTCCACTTTTGTTTGCCCCTGACACCATCACTGTCCCAACTCACATTGTCTGTTGAAAGCAGTTGTCTCTGAATTCCCTGTGCTAAGACCTCCCAGCCACACCACGAGGGCCACCCAGGAGAGGGAAATGGGCCCCTCCCAGACTCAGATTCCCCCTCTATCTTCTCCCACCTCTCCAAAAGGCTCTCAGTTTTCTCCCCTTCTGATCCTGGCACACCCATCAGAATCTCCTAAATGGTCTTGGACTGACCCAAGTTCCAGGGAGCAAGGTTGTCTTCAGGCAGCCGTTTCATTCCTGCACCCAAACCCCAAGAGGTAGACTTCCAATTGCAGCCTTAACACAGTAACTGGGGCTAAACTAGCCCTCCCATTCATTGTAAGCAGCCATGAAATTGATAAAATAAATGAAGCAACTATTTTCCGGTGAGGGCAGCAGACAGCACAAAAGTGCAAAATCCCTGAGAAAAGAAAACTGGTGATTGCCTCAACTCTTTCTCAACGATGGCTGCACCAAGAGTTAGAGGGCGAACAGAGCCCAGCAGTCCTGCTGAGCTGCAGAGAGTCTGCGCAACTGAAGCAGCTGGACTCCGTAGGACAAGGCGTTGGAGAGAAAGAAGAGCTGTGTGTTGAGAGGACCCCAAAAGCCCAGGCGGGGATCTCCATGACTTCTTGGCTGTGGGCTGCATGCAAAGGATTAGATAACCCACGGCTTACCAGACAGCAGCTGCTATGGCGTTTAGAGCAGAGATGCTGGAAGTCCAGCAGTGCTGGAGGTGGATGGAATTCTGATCCAGCTAGAACCACGAAACCCCTTAAGATCCCAGGCATCCATTTGAGAGCACACATATATGTACAGACATACACACACACATATATATTCTATACTCATACAATATAATATCACTCATCAATAACCTCGAACATGAAAACATGGAGACATCTCAGAAGCATTATGTGGAGTCAAAATAGCTCAACAAAAAAGTATATGATATATGGTTTCATTGATGTGAAGTTACAGAAGAGGCAAAACGGCTCCACGGTGACAGAGAGCAGATGAGCGGTTCCCTATGGCAGGGGCGGGGGTAAAGAGGGGGTTGGCCGCAAAAGCACATACAGGAACTTTCTAGGATCATGGAAATGGTCTACATCTAGATTGGAGTGGTAGTCCACAAGCACAGACATTTGTCAAAACTCATCAAACTGTACATGTAAAATGTGCATTTTACTGTATGTGAATTATACCTCAATAAAGTCAACTCCTTTTAAAGATCATTTAAAAGAAAACATGCAAAAGCGAGGCAAGGAATGAGAACAGAGGTGGGCCTTCCTTCTCAGCAGGGAGAAAGGAGGGCAAACACCAATGAAATGTCAGTAAGTTGCCATGTTATCTAATTCTGCAATATTTGCGGGTTTTGTAGTAAGTACACGTGACTTAAGATCATTAGAAAAAAGTTCAGCTCTAACCATGACCTTATAGCAGCCCCACGCCTAGCCCTCTGCGAGGGAAGCAGGGATGCACGTATACCCTCCAGAAATTCACCTCTTCCCTCCTCCTCTTGTTGCCCCCAGCCACTGTTGGCGTTGCTGATCTTGGTGCTATATGTGGGCACAGGAATATCAGGTAAGCATTCTGGAATCCGAGGAGGAAGGAGCCACGTCCACACAGAGTCAGGAGCATATTCTGGAGATGGCTGCATGCCAAGGGGCATGATCAACCGAGTTTATTCCAACTCACTCTTCTTTCCCTTATTAAGAGGTGGTGGTTGTGCCTGTTTCAGGAAGAAGCTGGGGGGTGTCAGAAAGAATCAGAGAATGTAACTACGTCCAGAATCCTATGACTTCCCAGGTAACATATTCAAGAAGGTACTGAGGGACGTCAAGCTTGGCTGAGGAAATCTGAGAAGGCTTTCCAGAGGTGTCATTGATGGGTCTCGGCCGGGTAGAGAAGGTGGGGGTGGGTACTTTGGGCAGAAGGAAAGCGTTGCAAAGGCTCGGGGAACTTTCAGAAACCAGTGGCAAGGGAGGGTCTACATGAAAAGGCTCAAGGTGCAATGTGAGTGTCTGCCTTTCAGGTGTTTGAATACCAGACCAATGACCCCTCAGAAGAGCCAATCAAGGTCATCAGGACCTGGTGGAAGGAGAACTTGCATGTTTTCGTGGAGAAGCTAGAGAAAGAGGTGCGAGACCTGGAACAGCTGGTGCGAAACCTGGAGGAGTGGCTGGATGCCCTCCTGGGAGACGGGTACCCAGAGGAGCCCGGCGCCACCCTCAAAAATCACTCGTGGGCTTCCCTGGTGGCGCAGTGCTTGAGAGTCCGCCTGCCGATGCAGGAGACGCGGGTTCGTGCCCCGTTTCGGGAGGATCCCACATGCCGCGGAGCGGCTGGGCCCGTGAGCCATGGCCACTGAGCCTGCGCGTCCGGAGCCTGTGCTCCGCAAATGGGAGAGGCCACAACAGTGAGAGGCCCGCATAACGCAAGAAAAAAAAAAAAACAAACAAACAAAAAAAAAATCACTCGTGAGGGGCCAGAGCTGGGACCTGGGCAGGAGGCCAAGTGGAAGGGGGCAAAGATTCCCAGGGGTTCCTCTAAGTAGGGCTGAGCTGTGACACTTGAAGTTTAAGGCAGCCAAGAAAATAAAGTAGTTGAGACACTGAGAACGCTAGTTGTCACCACTGCTGGTCCATGAAAGCTGAAATCAGGTCAGGAAGACACCAGGCTCTGCTGAGATACCATCACTTGTAGCAGGACTCTGGTGCACAGGAACCAACACCAGCCTCAGAGCCAGCCACAGGGTCAGGACCCTTCTCTTCCACTTTACTTGAGTCACTGTGCAAAATTCCTCAACCTCTCTGCAACAAAATATCTCATTAATAAGAATCAGGGAAACAGACTTTGCCTCACAGGGTTACACTGAGGATCAAAAGTGTATATATCGTGTATGTCTGGCATATAGTAGGTACCTGACAGACAGTTCTTCCTTTTTCACATTCCTTTTTCCTTCCTCCTTGGAAGTCAGCAGGAGGATGCTGGGTCCAGAGTCTACAGAGAGTATGTGGCAACTCAACCTTCTGACACTGCTGGTAGAAGTGTAAGTTTCCGGAACCCTTCTGGAGGGCAATTTGGTGAGAGCTATCAAATTCACAAATGCATTTATCCCTTGACCCAGCAATCAACTTCAGCGATTTATCATATGTATCAATATATGCACACTGTGAAGTTACATACTTTGCTTCTAATAGCAAAAAAAAAAAAAAAAAAAAAAAAAAGGAACAATCCAAATGAAAATGACATCAGTAGGGGCACTGGTAAGTACATCCAAACAACGAGATACCCTGTAGCTGTGAAAGAGAAAGAAGACAAGGCTTTCCTACTGATATGGAAAAGCCTGAAAGATATGTTGCTAAATGAAAGAAATGAGTCCATATTTTACTGTTGATGACGAAGTTGTGATTGAATACACATAAAAACTCTAGATGGACACAAAACAGGGGGAGCTTGAAGGGAGTTGAACTGGGGCAAATTTATGACAAGGACGGGAGGGAAACTTTCCACTGTTTACTTTTCACACTTTCCTATTTTCAAACTATGTGAATGTTTTGCCTATTCAAGTATTTTTTTAAATAAAATTACCTATTATTTTGCTTGCAGACAAGGACTGGAATACAGTGTATACAAGCAAAAATAACAATATCACTATGATGAAATTATGAGTGACTTTTAATTTTTTTTCTTTTTGGCCATGCTGCACGGCACAGATTGTGGGATCTTAGTTCCCTAAGCAGGGATCGAAGCTGTGCCCCCCTGCAGTGGAAGCACAGAGTCCTAACCACTGGACCACCAGGGAATTCCCTAATTTTTTAAAAACAGTGCCAAGAGAAAACCTCTCTCTTTTGATTATTTTTATTAAGCAATGAGAATGCTTGTCTAGGATTTTCCCTTTTCCCCTTGACTTCCGGGAAACTCAGAGTTCAGCTGTCCATTAGAGGAATTATATTGGCCTCACTTCTTTAGTTTATTTATTACCCCTTCTTATGACTTTTTTGTTTTTTATTTTAATGGAATTGTTATATATCTGCCAATTATTAGGACCACCTCCAATCTTTGAAAAGTCATGAGGGTTCCAGTTAAAATAATCTCAGAGGATATCTGACTTACAGGGAACGTCACAGCAATCCATTTGCCAGAAGGAATGAATCAATTGTCATTTGGGTTGGAAAAAGTCTTTGCAAGTTATGGTCACAGTTTGCCTGGGGGTGGGAACCAGAATCTGTTTTTTCTCATTTGCAGCTATTTCAGCAAGAGTTCTACAGGAAGGGGTTGATTGATATTTCCTGGTGTTCATGTTTACTATTACCATACAAGTTGTAGTTATAAATCCAAAATCATGTATATTATGTATGTTCTATGGGTACTTTAAAGGGTTCTCGGGCGTAAATTTGACAATATACAATATACAATTAAGCCTAAGACACACTTTAGACTTTAAACAGTTTAGATGTTTATATATGTAATTTGGGGGATACACGAAAAAAAAGAAAGCAGACCCTAGATCCTTGAGGAGTGGGACCACCCCCGTGGACGTTACCAGAGCCTTTGAGGAGTTAGTCCCCTGAAAGCTCTTGGATGCCACTTCCCCTCCCCCACACACACAAAGTGCCTAATAGGGACCCACTGACGGTGGTTACTGTTGGTTTCCTGACTTGTGAGCCCATAAAGAACAGCGAGCCCTTCAGGGTGGCTCAGGCCATGAGGCCCAACAAGGGAACCGGGATCTCACAGGAATCGAGAGCATATCACGACATGGGCTGGTGGAGACTGGAACAGGAAGGTCTTTATGAACCCAAGGTATCCACCAAGGCACTCCAGGAGCCCTCGCTGCAAGAATCTGGGTTCTCTCCAGTGTTCCACCTTTACCTTGCCTTTCTCCGGGTCTCTGCTTCCCTTTGTGTGACGGCTCCATCTCGTCTGCTTCCAGTGGCTTCCTTGCCCTCCACTCTGTGTATCCCTTCTTGAGCTCCATGCTTCTGAATCCTCATAACTCTGATTCAGTCCTAGTCTCACAGGCCTCTCTCTTCCTCACGACCTTCTAACTTCTACTGACCATGTGATTCTGCCCGTATTTCCCAGGTCCAACTCTAGGGGGAGTGGATGGGATACAATTGGCCCATCTCATTCACTGGAGTTTCTGGTGCTGAGCCAGGCTCTGTGCCAGGCAGCCTTTGGATTGAGTGAGCTTGGGGAGGACCAGGTGCTCCGGGACAGAGCTGCTCATACAAGAAACAGCCTGGGCCCCTTCCTGACAAGAGGCTTTGGACCACACGTGATGACCTGATTTACATTTCCCAATGGGGTCAAAACGTGGCAGAGAGAGTGACGGCAACCCTCGTACCTGGAGCCCCAAGAGTCTATATCAGCGAAGCAGAATTGTGTGAGACAAACATTCAAAGGCTGAACACAATTGCTGAGAATGAGGTGGGAGGGGCTTGACCACCAGAACCACATAGATGCATGGGGCAGCCCAAACAGAGAAGATTTAACTCTCTGCCTTCACTTCCTGGGTGTGAAAAATACAAATGACACACTTCAAAATAAGAGTATGACTACCTTCTATAACTTTGAAGTCTTATAATTTGAATGATTTTAGCAAAATGTTGCCCAGTAAACCTATTAAGGGGCCCACTTTCATATCCACAGAGTGGATTTCCCTTGAGAAGAGAAAAAGTCTTTTGCTTAAGAAGGCAACTCTACATTTCTCCAAAGAAGACACACAGATGGCCAACAGTCACATGAGAAAATGCTCAACATCACTAATTATTAGGGAAATGCAAATCAAAACTACAATGAGGTACCACCTCACACTGGTCTGAATGGCCATCGTCAAAAAGTCTACAAATAATAAAGGCTGGAGAGGGTGTGGAGAAATGGGAACCCTCTTGCACTGTTAGTGGGAATGTAAATTGGTGCAGCCACTATGGAAAACAGTATGGAGATTCCTTAAAAAACTAAAAATAGAGTTAGTATATGATCCAATAACCCCACCCCTAGGCATATATCCAGAGAAAACCATAATTCGAAAAGATACATATACCCCAATGTTCATAGCAACACTATTTATAATAGCCAACATATGGAAGCAACCTAAATGTCCTTCAACAGATGAATGGATAAAGAAAATGTGTGTGTGTGTGTGTGTGTGTGTGTGTGTGTGTGTAGACAATGGAATACTACTCAGCCATAAAAAAGAATGAAACAATGCCATTTGCAGCAACATGGATGGACCTAGAGATTACCATGCTAACTGAAGTAAGTTAGAAAAAGACAAATATCACGTGATATCGCTTATATGCAGAATCTTAAAAAAATGATACAAACTTATTCACAAAACAGAAATACACCCACAGACATAGAAAACAAACTTATGGTTACCAAAGGTGAAATGGGAGGAGGGGTAAATTAGGAGTTTGGGATTAACATATACACACTACTATATATAAAATAGATAACCAACAAGGACCTACTGTATAGCACAGGGAACTATACTCAATATACAAGGGAGAAGAATATGAAAAAGAATATATATCTGAATCACTGCCCTGTACACCTGAAACTAACAGAACATTGTAAATCAACTATACGCCAATTAAAAAAGGAAAGAAAGAAGGAAACTCTTCCCAGCTTCTTCCATTCAATCAAGATTGTGAATAAGATATACACACTATGAGGGACTTCCCTGGTGGTCCAATGCAGAGGGCACGCGTTCGACCCCTGGTCGGGGAACTACGATCCTGCATGCTGCATGGCACAGCCAAAACAAAAACCACATACACAATACTATATATAAAATAGATAACCAACAAGGACCTCCTGTATAGCACAAGGAACTCTACTCAATATTTTGTAATAACTGATATGGGAAAAGAATCTAAAAAAGAATGGATATATGTACATGTATAACTGATTCACTTTGCTGTGCACCTGAAACTAACACAACATTGTAACTCAACCATACTCCAATAAACATTTTTTAAAAAAGAAAGAAGTATCGATTGGACCACGCGTGTGCCAGCCACCGACGAATGAGACGTTTATAGGCTAATGGTGAAAACAAATGAAAGAAACAAGTAGAAAAGTCAGGACAAGGCAATTTCGGAGAATAATAAATAAAAGAGTGGAAACGAGACCACTTAGCAAATCACTGTAGTTCCAGGTAGAAATGGAGGCCTGACGTGGGGGAAAAGTGCCCAGAATCAGGAGACATTCTGAAAATGTATTCAGCGGGACCTGCTGATGGGTGAGAATGTGCGAGAAGAGTCTAGAAAGCTGTTGGCCAGGCCTCAGGACTTCCTTTCTCTTCAGCAAGGAGGAACCTGAGCCATGAGTCAGGTTTTGACCCAGGTAGCCCACGAGGGCAAGATGGAAGAGACAGGCTTGGTCTGGTTAAAGGGAAAGTTGGCCAGTTGGAAAAAATGTCATGACCACTCAAGTATCCACATTTCTTTCCTTTGTCTCAGGCACCTGGAGCATGAGGTCAGCATTACAACAGTTAAAGACTTTTAATTAATTGTAATTGATGGTTCTCTCCCTTATCTCTCTTTTACTTAATAGATTTGGCAGCCTTCCTAATGCTCCCTCAGGCTCTTCTCTTTGGCTAACACTGATTCATTCTACTTTTTAATTTGTTCGTCTTATTGCATTTGGTCAGCTGCTTTTCTGTTCTTTCACCTTATATATATTATATAATGGGGGAAAAACCACAATCATTCAGATAATTCATGTTTTAAAGATAAGAATCTGATAGTCTAGACAAAACCTAGGTAAGGTAAAGTCCACTTGTATGTTAGCCGTTAAGTAGTTCATAAGCATACTATGATTATCGGGAAGAAATAATAAAATTGTGATAGCTGACATTTAGAAAATGCTTCCTGCATTTCTGTTTTAGGGGCTCGGTCAAGTGCTATTGTTATTTCCAGTTTATGGGAGGGGAAACTGAGGCAGGGAGAGAGTATATCATTGTTAAAATCATATCATCAATAAATGGGGAGCCAGGATTCAAACCCACACTGTCTGGCATCAAAGCCCTCACACTAACCCAATGTGCTTTACAGCCTCCTCTCCATTAAGTCCAGCCAAGATAATCTCTTTCTCTCCTTAAAATGTTATCCTTTTATTGTTAAGGAATCATATGCCAATTAAATTTAGAAGGCAGTAAATACTACATGTCAGGTACATATATAGAGAAGTAGAAATCATATTTCCTGCCCACATATAGCTGGTCTGTCTACCATGAAGCCAAGAAACAAAGATGGAAAAAAAGAGATATCCAGCTTGTTTTAAAAGCCATTGGGTAAAGTGCCAAAGACACCTAACTAATTGCCAAATGAGTAAAATACTTATTGACTTAACTAAGGGTTCAGAGAAGGGATAGGGCACTTGAATTGGCACTAACATGAAAATCTGTTAGTCCAGTTATAGAAAAATGCTGAAATTTGAATTAGGCTATGGCCAAGAGGAAATCGTGGGAGAAATGGAAGAAAAGATGAATGATGGGCAGGGGCAGAGAGGGGCCCTTCCTGCTAGAATCACATCTCAGGTATGGGTACTGTGGCCCAAACTAAACCCAAGGGTCAGATCTGAGGTCTCAGGTAAGATTTGGAACCAGCTTCCCAAAGGTCTTTGTGAGAATAAGGTTTAAAAAAAAAAACAAACAAACCCTTAAGAAGGAGGGACTCAGGCTCCATTGAAATTATTCCAAGACTAGGAAGGTTCATTTCCAGTCTTCATGTCATTTTTTTTTTTAATTTTATTTATTTATTTAATTTTGGCTGTGTTGGGTCTTCGTTTCTGCGCGTGGGCTTTCTCTAGTTGCGGCGAGCCAGGGCCATTCTTCATTGCGGTGCGCAGGCCTCTCACTATTGTGGCCTCTCGTTGCGGAGCACAAGATCCAGACACCATGTCATATTTTCGATGATGTCAAATAAAAAAGTGGAGTTAATCTGTTCCCTTAATCCACAAATTTGTTCAACAAAATTGTGAAAAGCACTAAATCCAATTTGGTTCAAATCTGGCTGTCAGAAGGATAATTGAGGGATGAAACCAAAGAAGACGCCTTTTGGGGCATCCAAATCCTTTCTGTTGTGACGTTTCCAGGAGGAGGAGCATTCTTGCCTTAGGGCAGGGCCAGAGCTTTAGTCCAACAGTGCTGCTGGCCTTCTTAGCCCAGTGGCTGAGCCTTCAGCAGAAGGTCCCAAGTTACCTGAGTGCTTTGGCCAAATCACTTCATCACTCAGAGCCTCAGTTTGCCTCCCTGTCATACAGTGCTACTACACTTTTTTGAGCAGCTGTTGAGACACTAAGAGGACATGATGACAGCAAAGCACAGTGCTAGGAAAGCTAGTACATGCTTAGAAAAGGAAGCATAACAGAAAAGTCCAGGTATATCCAAACACAGGCTCAGTTAAATCCAGGGACATTGGGCGGTCTCTCTCTCTCTCTCTATTTCTCTTTCTCTCTCTCTATTTCTCTCTCTCTCTCTCTCTCTCTCTCTCTCTCTCTCTCCCCATTTGCCTCTGGGCTGGGCCCATTCTCAGGCATGCTGTCCCCACAGTGGAGGCAGCATGGCTTCTGGAGTTCCAGGCTAGATCACATCCTCTGCTTCTCCCCGGAGGAAAAGAAATGCCTCTTCCCTGAGAGCTGTGCTCGAAGTCCTGCATTTGAACCTGGTGGCCCTGGGTTTGGATCGCATACCATTCCTGAGCTACTCCTCGTGGCTGAAGTGATGCAATGCTCACATTGGCCAGACCTGCTCACACACCCATCTCTCTAGCCAGGGATAATCCTAAGCACAGACTGAGGGGTGGGGAGCCGTGGTTCCCCAAGGGAAATCGGGGTACTGTTAGCAGAATGGGGGAAACCAGGGCTAGGAAAAATTTTTTAAATACTTTGTTAAAGTACCAATAACAGCAATTCATTTTCATCACACTCCAGCAGGGTGTAAAGTGCTTTCTCAGCTATCCTACCTCACGTGGATCTGAGCTCTAGACAAGTGATCTTTTTTAACACCCTGGTGCATGGCCAGCTACAGCAGACTTTACTTCTCTTGCCTGTGAGCCCAGGCAAAGTGCACATCAACGGAGATGAAATGAAGAAGCCGAAAGGTCAGGGCTTTGGGGTAAAACAGATGTGGTCCAAACCCTGCCTCTCCACTCCCACCTCCGCACTGTGCCCTCAGACAGGTCACTCCATCCTTCTGAGCTGCCCATAAAGTGGGGTTTGTCTACATATCTCCAGGGCCTATTTAGAGGATTAAGTAATAACAGCCAACTTTTAATTAGT